ATATATATATATATATACACAATTTGGTCAGAATTCTGGTACAGGATCAGCTTGCTCTTAAGGATTGTGAGGTTTGTTTTCAGCCATCTCCAGAACCTCAGGCAAGGAATAAACGATAGCAACCAGATAGAAGCAAGAAGAAACCCATATCACCTACAAGGGCCTTCAATCACCCTCATCAAAGGTCTGGGCAAAGAACCAGGTTCTCAAGGCCCTCCAAAACACCAGCAGGGAGGGGGCCATCTGAATGTTGGGGGAACTTCATTCCAGAGGGCAAGCACTGTGACTGACAGATTACATTATTTAATTAAAGAAACCTGGAGTATGTCAATCCTGCCAGATTGAATCAGCCAGGTAGATACTATGGGAGACAAGTGGTCCCTCAAGAAACTAGGCCCTATGCCATGTAGGGCTTTATAGGCAACAACCAGCACTTTGAATCACACCTGGAAGCAAACTGGCAACCAGTGCAACTCACAAAGCAGAAGTATGGGCATACCAAGGTACGCTCATCACCACCTGCACTGCTGCATTCTGGACCTGTTGAAGCTTCTGGGTGGTCTTCAAGGGCTGCCCCAAATACAGTAAGTTGCAGTAATCAAGCTGTGAGGTACCAGGGCGTGAGTGACTATCCAAAGTGACTATCCCAATCTAGAAGGAGCATAACTGGTGCACCAGATAGAGCTGTGCAAGGGCCTTCCTGGCCACAGCTGCCATCTGCTCATCAAGTAGGAGCTATGAGTCCAGGAAGATCCCCAGATTGCATACCACTCTTGAATAGGGAAATGCTACCCCATCCAAGTATGTTAGAGTCACAATCCCTGGGAAGCAAATCACTACTTCTCTACATAATTGATTTGGGTACAACTCTGGAATCCTGAATTTTGTCCTTGCCCAGAAGGAAGATGGCTGAGATGAAATGGCAGACTGTCATTTGGTTATGCAAAGGAGGCTCCAGGACTGGACTATGCAGAAAAGTCACATAGTACACCCTGCCAGCTCTATAGCAGTTCTTGTACCTGTCATAACTACAAAGTCCAGCTCTCATCTGAGGACTGCTTTTTCCCAACAGCTGGCTGAGAAAATCTATCATCTGGCCAGGTTGCCAGTCAGCCTGCTTGCCTGTTTTTGCCATGACTAAAATCAGGGAGTCAAATCCAAACTAGGACCACAAAACACTTTCTTGTCATACTGTATATGAGAATAGAGCTTGGATCCTTCAAACCAAATCAATACAACTGTTGTAGTAGAAGTACAGTATAAAACAGAAGTTGAAATTGATTCATCTTGAATTACTGGAAGAGGGCTGAGTACAGAATTCCATTTCTCTTTGGCTGGAGGAATATGGTGAGCAGAACAAGCATGTAATACTTTAACTGTAACACTAAGCCTTTAGGTAGTATTTCCACAATCTAGCCATCCCCCAGCTGCATGGATTTCAATTCCCAGAATTCTCAACAATGCCCATATTGGTTAGGGAACCCTGGGAGTTCAAGGCTATTTGTTTGGAGGGCATCCAAATTGGAGAAAGTTGTTTCAGGGAAGTATCCTCATACATCCCCCCTCATACCCCAGCTACGAAGGGGTTGAGCAGAGGTCTTAGAGTTCTTAATCACTCACGAGAGCCGATGCAGTAGAAGCTGGTACAGGGCATCTGGGGAGAGCTGGTCCCGGGGTACAGATACCAGAAGGGGGTGACCGAAGAGGACAACCCCATAGTAGGTGTTGCTGTAGTCCCGACTCTGGGTACGCTCCCGAAGGTAGACTGGCAGCACCACTGCATCTGCTGAGGTCGGGTCTTCCAGCGTGGACACAGACACCTCATATCTGGAGGGAGATGGGGAGGCACACTATGAGGAGGAAGAGGAGGAGCAGCAGCAATGAGCAGACTACTTGCTTATTTACAGTTTTTCATTTCTCAACCTAGCCTTCATTCAAATGGCATTCCAAGGTAATATACAGAACACAGAAATTCATACACATAAAGTTCTATAAACACAGTAAAAATAAACTGTTTACAGACAACAAACTAAGGAGCAATGAGCCACCAAATAATACAGGTGAAAACAGTATCAATTATAATTGGAGGAAAATACAAATGCCTCAACTTGATGGCAGTAAGACTTTAATGGTGTCCCAGTCAAACTCCCTTAAGGAAGGGAAGTTGTTCAAAAACAGCTTTGTAGGCAGGAAGCAGATGCATCCATAGGTGGTCAGCTTAAACCCTCCAAGTACACTGACATTCCCAGGCTTGCTTCTGGCACTGAAGAAAATGTCCCCTTAAACTCTAACAGTGTCCACCTTGACCATCATCCCAAGATCTTCCCTCTTTGCCTACTTCTGGGATGAAGTAACAGGACTTGATGCATGTCATGCTCAGAGCATGCCAAACTATTGAGCAATGGCATATTTACCTCTGGTACTCATTGCTGCTTCTGCTATCACAATTTTCCCACCTCTGCTTCCTGTGAACCTGGCCCCTCACTATAATAAAATGCTCATCTGACTTACAGGCCCATCTTATCCAGGCTCACTGTAGTGAATGATTCTCCAGCGCATCCTGCAGCAAGGAGGGGATTGGCTACATGACCCAAACATCCTTTCAAACGCCGTGATTCTATGATTTATTAGCTCTCACTCCCTTCCCTTCTTATTCTACTTGGCTTTTCCAATCTGGGCGTTTTAGATGTGCCAGCCATGCTGACTAGAAGTAATGGAAATTACAACCCAACATATTGGAAGGGCACCAGGGCAAAGGCTGCTTTACCCTATATTATCCCCTCCCCAAACCCACATGAAGATGTCATCCCGGTCCAGAATGCAGCTGAGAGATTCTTCCCTCTGGTAGATCTTGTAGAAGCGGTGACTGAACACATCAGCCACCATCATCTGGAGAAGAGGCAAAGAGAGAGAACAGTCACGAGAGAGGGAAAACATGGAAGAGGCTTCTATAGTCCATGAGGTCAGACTACAGGCACCTCTCCCTCGCTCTCCCGGCAAACTTACCCGCTCAGCAGGCACCCCTGTGTGCTCTGATAAAACGTGACAGAGGTCTAGCACTTTCCCAGCTTTCGGGACAATCAGCCTATGCTGTAAGAACAACAACAAAAGAGGCCAGGTCCAAACTAGTAATAAAGCCAACTGAAAATCAAAAGCCAAATCCCCATAAGACTGAATCCATCTCCAGGAGGGAAAACTGATTTGGGGACAGACCTATAGGTTTCAATTAAGTGTCAGGTCCACAGCCAGATCTAAACTATTTAAACTATTTCTCTACCATGCATGCTTGCATTCTCTGCCTTTCAGATGACAAAGAAACTTGAAGCTGTATAAAATCAGGTCAAATCTTAGTTCCATTTGGTTCAATGTTGTCCAAATGGCTAGCAACTTCTTTCCTCTAGATATATGACATGGGCTCTAGGGCTACTCCCCCATACACCAGGACTCTCAAGTCTCATTCAAATAAAGTTCTCCCTCTTCTTGCCACATTAGTGCGCCTTCTAGGCAGCTGGCTGGTACCTGTTCAGGTTTCTTGCAGGGATCCATGGATACAAAGAAAACCTCCATCACCCGGTCTTTGCTGATTGGCAGAGGGGCACTGAGGTAGCAGAAAGGATCAAATGTCACTGAAATTTTGTCACATTCAGGGCACACCAGTGTTGATTTGAAGAGTCCATGGAAGATATCAACAATGATGGAGTTGTTGCGACGTTTGTGGTTGCGCCACGCTTCTTCTGCTACTTCCTGAACAGGAGGAGGGAGAATGAATACTCTAAAGAGTAAGCCACCATCTTTCTCTTCCCACACTCACCCATTTTTGCTGAATTACAATTCTCAGCGTTTCACATTACGAAATATATTAGTTGAAGCTGCAGAGAACTATAATTTAGCAACATCTTGAGGTCAAAGAGGGGTTTCCTATCTCTGCTTATGTGCTTGCAAGCAGGGAAGGGCCTTAGAATTTTATCATAGAGTTTGGCAACAAAAACCTCAAAATTAACAGATAGATCTCTTCAAAGCAAAGAGACATCCATCAACCATCGCCGGATCACTTTTTAGTTTTCCCCTCCCACCTTATCTTTAGAGCCCATGTGAAACTGATTATTCAAGCTACTCTTCGTCTGCTGCTGGGGAAAAACTGCAAGGGGACGGGGGAGAGAAAGAGGTGGTCTACTGCATCACCGATTAATGCATAGCATTTTTAATGGAAAACCTCAAAGAATTTATAAGCATTATAAACTGAGCACAAGAGTCTGAAGCAAGAATCTCATGGAAAGAAATAACTGATGCACCCATACTACACTTTCCCGAAATGTCTCAGCCCTGCAAAAGGCTATTCTGAGTCTTCCTGAAGTTGTATTACTTCCAGGGCTCTTACAACAAGCAGACAGAGCTTGTTCTGAGGTCAGGACAGAATACTGTGCACAATCCTATAGCACAGCACTCAACTTCTAATGAAGGAAGGGCATCTCCAGTTCTTTCCAGTAGCAGGGTAGTCTATTCTCTATGCCTCACTTCCAAAGACTCCAAGCCTCCTCATATCGTATCCAGCTCCTTTTCTTTTATCCCACAACCTCAACCTGATTACTACAGAGCCTTTGGGAGTCCCTTTTTGTCACTACTCCACTCCTGTTCTTGCTCACACAAAATTTTACACATGCTAAAGTTTCAAGAAAAACTTCCCTCTCATGAAATTTAGATGTAACAGCTTAGACAAAACCAGTAACTTCCAAGTTTCACTTCACTTTGCAGCTGAGGAACTGATGTGAATTCCTCATGGGACTGCTCGGAGAATAAAGTATTTATTTATTTGTTGGTTGGTTAAATTTATATAGCCACCCATCTCACTTCTGTGACTCTGGGCAGCTTACAAAATTAAAAAACCAAAAAACGATACAAAAAATAACCAAAAAAACATAACAAGCATAATTAAAAGCAATGAAAACTATTAAACATAATCTGCAGGAGAACACCATTCATTTTCCTAGCACCACTACGAGATCCCCAGGCCAGATGACAAAGCCATGTCTTCAGGCCCTTCCAGAAGGCCAGCAAGGTCAGGGCCAATCTGACCTCGGGGGGAATGATGTTCCAAAGGGCGGGTGCCATGGTGGTAAAGGCTCTCCTCCTGGATGCCGTCAGATGACATTCCTTCATGGATGGGACCCGCAACATGCCCTTCCTGCTATACCTGATGGGATAGGTATATGTGATTGGGGAAAGGTAGTCCCTCAAATACTCTGGTCCCTTGCCATGATATAAAAATCCAAGTGACCAGAACAACATGTGTAAGGATCACAATGGAAATTCAACAGGTAAGATCTCCAGCCAGAAGCTTCAAAATTTGGTGATATGTTATTCCCACTGCAAACACACATGTACTATTACTGCTGGCTAGAATCCAGATTTGTTTGGATTCTCCAATATTTCACCTACAGCTCACACTCACCTCATCAGGTCGCCCTGCTGCATCCTTTAACTCAATGTACTCCTTCTTCTTGACACGATTGAGGTCCTCATGCAGACCATCAAGCAGGAAGGAGAGAAGCTCTTGGGAATCATGCTGCTGATAGCCAAGGAACTGAGAGGCAAAATGGCCCACTTTGGTCTGAATGGAATGCAAAATAGGGCCTCTGAGATCAGAAAAGAGCAAGATACAGATTTAAAAAAAAAACAGCAAGACAAGAACACGACAAACCTTGAACATTCGGGGCACGATGGAGCGATGGTGGCCAGACCACTTCTGCTTAATGAGGTCTGCATAGGCTTCAGCAATTTCACCCTTCATGCCAAGAGGGTTACTGAAGTTTAGTTCATCCAGGTAATGATTATTGAGGAAGTATTCCGTCAGAGGGGGCACATTGCTGAGACACTGCAAGAAAGAACGAATCAGCGCCAAAGGTAGTCCATCTTTCAGAATGAAACTCTACTGTGAAAAAAACATCTTTGACGCAAAGAGAATCTTCTATTTGGGAAATAAATGAAATTAAAAGTAAGGATAAGCAAACAGATATTGTCCCAGAAGTTGGGGAATTTTTTTAGTGGCCTCCTTTTGTTTCACATATACAAAAATAATGTGCAAAAAAGACGTGTGGCTGTGACATTTATACAGATTGCATAATGTTATTTTGTAATGGGAACACAATCTCTCGTTACTGAGGAACAGGTAAGTGCAACTTAGCTTTTGTTTCAGATAGCCAAATGTATTAGGATGTCATTTCTGTCCCCCTTCCCAGTGGGGAAAAACAACAACGTTTGGCTGTATTACTATAATCTTTGTTGTCTTCGTTTAAAGTTAGGGAAAAGAAAAAGATTTGGAGGGGATTATTTACGAGGGAATTCAAAAACAGGAAAGAGAGCAACCTTCAATTTATCGATCATTCCAAGACATGATAAAGATCTTGGAATCAAGATTCCCTGAACTTGCAAATCCAGTATTCCTCAACAGATGGTAAGCACGCTACTGGTGGCACAAGAAGGGCCCTAGATGGGGCGCGACTTCCCCAACCACATCTATGCATGGGACAGAAATACGGATTTAGAGTCGCCTTTGCTGAGGCAAGTTGGTTTGTTGATCAAATGCTGCGGCAGGCAGGAGGAACATATTGCTTCCTTGCTGTAAAGGGTAGGAAAAGCATCTTGCCTCACTGGTATGTATGGGAGAGAGATAAGAATTGGCTACAGGGTGGTACTTGGGAGTGGAAGGTAAATATAAGCAAAGAGGTGTTGTTATTAGAGTTGCTGTTAGGTTAGGATTCTACAGAGACTTCCTTTTGACTGGACAAACACACACTTCATTGAATTATGTTACCATACAGTAGAGAGAGATCTGTTTTCTTTTGACTGCGATGCTGGTCAATCAAATGCAACCACAGGCTTATCACTAAGAGGTCATGTTATCATACCTTCCCAGGTATGAAATTATTTCTCAGCTTCATGGTTTGCAGTTCTAGCAAAAAGCTACTGTCAGCAATATTGCTGTACTTTTTACAAATTTGAAATTTAGAGTAATAGGTAAAGCTATTTTTCTATCTTGATGGCATCCAGGGATTGGTGAGTCTTAAGAAACGATTAGCAGAGATGGGTTAATTCACCTATCCTGTAAAAGCTATTCTAAAACATGCCAGCAGCCAATGCCATAACTTATTGGCAGTCTGTAGGCAGATATGTAACAACACTAGTAACACATCCCACCCAATAACCTGGTAGAATGTGAACAAAGTTTTCATTCTGCTTGGTGACAAGTCATCATAGTGCCCAAAGTTTGGCACCAAAAGATCAACCAATATTTCCTACTTGCAAAGCAGAATTCATGAAGCATGTGTTCCCCAGGTTGGTAAGGCCACAAACCCCTGGCTGGCCCCGGTACCGTTCTTCCTCATCAATGGAATTCTTCCTGAAAGAAGCAGGTGAAGTGAGATTACAAAGAAGAGGAGGTGAAACCCGCAGCCTGGTTCCTGTTGGGGCAGAACAAGATTAGAAGACAGCAACACCTCCCAAAACTCAGGCAGGCTTGGAACTAGAATGCTGCCCGATTCTGAAACTCACAATCCACCATAAAACAGGGGATGCAGGCACACCTCAGAATTGTGGTAATGCTAATATAAATGTTAGGTACTCACATGATATGTGGTCTAGAGCTGGGCCAAGTACCATCTTTACTCCTGGTCTCCATTATCACAATCTAGAGGGAGCAGGTGTAAGTAGGGAGAGGTCAAGAGACACACAATAAAAATAAAAAACAGGGCTGCGTTAATTAGCGTGTGGCTGGGCAACCGTCCATGACCTCCAACCAGAAATTGCCATTTACTCAGCCAAAATTATTAGCTAATAAAAGCATAGCTACAAAGCACCTAAATGTATTCTGGAATTGCTCAAGCTCCTCAAACACATTTTTAAAACCCACAGAAACCAAACATGCTATACTACCAAAGATGTCCAACTGAAGACAATTACATCTTTTCTCTTTTCCCATTTTTGTTGTTTTTACAGCATCTCCCTCCTTGCTCTTATCTCCCACCACCTTTCTTGCAAGCCCAACAATAACAGGGCCAAACCAAATAAGTTCACCATGACATAAGATAATTTTTAGGCCATTATTTGCATATCAAAGGCTCAAGGGCAGCGCAGGCATCCCTATGGTTTCTACCTTTGTCAAACAAATAAACTTTCCTTTCTATATTACACTTATCCTTCGCTTGTCTCTCTCTCACACAAGGCAACTTCCTATAAGAAAGTTTAACAAGATCAGCTAAAAATCTAACAAGTGAATGCCACAAATACTAAGCATGGTTAGTTTCAATCTTGTGTTGCTGTTTTTGTTTGGGATCGGTATATTGTGGGAACCCATCTCATTTACAGTAATTTATTTATTGCTTAATGCATTGTCTCAACCCAGAAAATGGCTTTATTTAGCAATCAGGTGAAAGCCTGTTATGTGAACCTAGCACACAAAAAAACCATTTATCCCATCTATTCACTTCTATCTTTCCATCTTGTTTTTCTTCTCAGATTTTTCTACTTTGACTTGTTTTGAGAACTTCCATACAAATTGAATATTTTTAAGTGATAGATTAACCGTTTCCCTGCAGAAATAATGTAAGACATAGCTACTTCCAACAAAAGCAGTTGTTGTTGCCCTTAAACCAGGTTTGCTATTCAGCTAAGAGTATTTCACTGAAGTCTAAACTTGTAGTCCCTCTCCAGGGACTCTGTCTGATTAGTTCAAATCCAGGCTTTGGAACTGATAATCTCAAATCCAGTCCAAACTGCTATTTTCCAGATGGGCTCCACCCTGAGTAACAGGCATAAGTAACAATCAAACACAACTGGAGAGCATCAGGTTGGGGAAAACCAATTTATATAAAGATGCCAGAGACCAATCTTGGCATGAAAACAATTCTGCCTCTTTTTCTATATAGGCCAGCCTCAACCTGGTGACAGCAGCGTTACCTGCCCTGAACTGAGGCAGGCATCCAGCACAGTCATCTGCACGTTTCGTAACCTCTCATAGGAGCCATCAGCATTTTTCACCCAGAGCCTTGATTCATCTTCTGCTGGAACTGAAAACTGATGCCGGGCCTCTTTTAGCACCGTATCTAAGGGGCAGGAGACAAGAAGACAAAGAGAAAATGATTCGTTGGATGGGAATGCCTACTGTTTTTCCCTCCATTTTTCCCTCTCTGCCAAATACAGAGTTCCTGGGATCTTACCAATGATATCCATTCGGCTAAACTGGGCCACCACAGGGTTGTCTACATCATTGTGCTGACAGAGATATAGCTCCACTAAGTAAACCTCCACCTTCTGCATACTAGGAAGGTCTACCACCTGGGAAGGAACAATCAAAATAAAGGTCAACCAACAAGGGGCAGCATACCATTAAAAGAAATGGGGGAAATCAGTGTTGGTAGATTCTTATTGCTCAAGTCTCTTTGCATAGGGACTCAAAAGAAGAAAGCCAACCCCATCCATAAAAGCTGAATGGCACTTATTTATCAGAAGAACACACAGGTTTGTAGGGGGATTATATAAAAAGGAAGAAAAGCTGTAACACTAGCAAGAACCTAGCAGGGTGCCTGTCAGTATATGGACTGTACAACAGAACATTCATGGCAAGAATGAGATCCATGAACTAGCAATCCCCCACAAGTTTTACTTTCATCACAAATTAAAAGCCAGTCTCCATTCTCTCAACCCTTCCAATTTTCCCATTAGCAAGAGGCAGATAATGCTGGGAAAAAGGTTATTGAAAGGAGGTAGCATATAAGTTAAGTACCATTAAATTCTACCTCTAGAAAAAAGTCTTCCATTCACACAGGGAGTTGAAAGATTCTTCTCTGGTCATCTTTTCTATTAACTGCAATGGAAAATGCTGCAGTGCACCTAAATTCCAAATAAAACCTGTGCTTCTCAACTCCAAACTTCTCACCTTTCGTTCAATGGCTGGCTGGCCATGTTCAATGCCATACCAGCTCACCAGCTTGTTCCACACCTCCTCTGGCACTAGAATGTACTCTTCATGCTCTGCCAGCCTATCCTTCAACCGATAAGACTCCAAATCTGGAGGCAGGAAGAAAGAAGGAAGACAGGTTGAAATCATGGAGGACTCACCCTCTTTGAAGAAGCTCATAGCTTAAGAGCAACTGCTGCCTCACAAATTTGGCATTCTGAAAAGGAGCCAAGCTTCTTAGTAGCTGCAAGTGTTTAACAGGCAAACACATTTCTGCTTCCATAGTACAATAGAAGGCCTCTTCTCATAAAGCCAGTATGGTGTAGCAATTAGTGCTCAAATAGTGCAGAAATCCAGATTCAAATTCTAAGTTAATTGAGAAATATACTAGGTGATGTTGGGCCTATCACTTTTGAGATTCATACATTGTGCTAATTATGTTATCTACCTGATGTTGATTTAGTATGTCATGTGAACCCACCCACTTGTCTTATTCAGCAAACCACAGTTAAGTAATCTCTGCTGTAGTGCAATGAGCAAATGTAATGTCTCTTCTCATGAACCCATTTTACTAGTTTACTGCAATGATCAAATGTATGCAAACTGGAGCTTCCTACAGGAAGGGAGAGAGAGAAACGAAACAAATAATAATTCATATCCTCCAGATTAAGTAATCTGGGAATTTATCTGAAGGGCAGAAAAGAAGCTTCAAATAAAAGAAATAAAGCAGAGGAAACCATACCTTCAAAGAGTTCAGCATTGTTGATCCGTCCAGGGAAAGCATTTGAGTTCTGATCTCCAGATTCCACATAAACTTTCCACTGCTTGTACCAATGATTTTCCAGCAAATACCTGAGCAAGGAAACAGGGAGGTCAAATCCAATGCAGGACCACATTCTTAACATGCAATCAGGAGCAGTTGGCAATTCTTCTCCCTTCATTCCCCAACCACAAATAGGACCATAAGAAGTCCAGGCCTCAGACTGAGACACAGGCCAGCTGTATCCGTCTAATTATGCCAAGAATGGTAAAATTCTGTTTGCAATCTGTATAGGCATATTCCTAAGAATCTTAAATATTTTTTAAAGTTTCAGGTCATTAAGACAACAGACATAAGCTTTCAAAAGTCAAGACATCTTTTCAAGGGCTTCCTATATCCAGAACATAATTTGTTCCATTCTCTGTAACATCTTACATTACATAGTTCCAGCTAGCATCTCTCATTCCCTTCCATGGTATTTAATTAGGATGGCTTGGGGTGAACAGGGGGGTAACATAAAATCATGTTGTTTAATAGTAGCTCATTATTCTCCAAACTTGACACCAGTTATTTATGCCACCAGTTATTCCTGATTCACATCTCTACTATTAGCTGTGAACTTGCCAGACCAGTCACCGTCCTTCTGCCATAGTTTACTAACCCTTCACAGTCTGCTATAACAGAAGTGCAGATGAATGTGCATGAAATGCTTTGGAATCCTTAGAGAACCTTCCATTTGTAAGTGGCTTAAATCTGGTCCTCTTAGTTATCTGCTTATTTTCCACTTCCCAATGTCAATTGTTTAGACAAGTCAGTTTGAATTTTCTGCTCAGCGGCAAACTATAATCCGTTTTCTTCCTAGCTGATAACTATTCCACGGAAAGAAAAAAGCATTCCATTCTCAACACAATTAATTCTATAGTATGTCATTGTGCCACAACATGATCAGGCCTGGCTGGCTGTAAAAAGAATTTTCCCTTGGTTTGACTTGGGAAACTAGAGTAACTGCTCCAAAGTCTGTAAAAGAGAATAGGCGATCCCAGTGCAAGCCACTACCACTGGCCACAATTAAAGGCAAAGAGAAATCCACCAGATCCTTCTGCCTCTTTTCTGACAGTCTGGCAAGCTCCTATTGGCATACCAAGTACAGCAGAGCTTTACATATTAAAAAGACAGCATGGTCTAAAACTAGTTGGTAAATACCTATTTGTCTGCAGCGAATACAATTTTCTTCCCAAGAAACATCTCATTTTTTTCTTCAACTAAACATATTATCCTTCCTGTGAAACTTTGTAAGTAATGAAAACTAACTCAATAGGATAAAAGACATAAAGACATAGTGCCACACCTTTCACTGAACACATACCTGCTGCTATGGTCAGCCTTTCAAGGTATGCTAGTGTTTCGCAAAGTTTTTGAAAGATAAATTAGATTTTACGATACAACCATTACTGCACTGAAATTATCCTGCCCTACGGTATATATTTTAGGAGTATGTTGCAGACACCTCAACGTTCCTGCTTCCCTTTTGGGTAAAAAAAAAAAAACTTTGAACAGATGCAGAGTAGGTTGGAAGACCATTCCCATCTTTTCAGAATTGTTTTCAGTGCAACTCTCCAGGCCAAAGTGTTTTATATACAGTATATTAAAAGCTTCCTAAGTTTTAGATTGTATCTTTCTTGCCCTCCATTACTTCAAGCAGTCTCTGAGCAGTGTTTAAGGGAAAATGGATGAAGAGAAGAAATTTAACCAGACACAATCATGCTAATAGAAAGCCCCAGTTCTTTTTCAGCCTGGAGGGAAAAGGGACATTCTTGAGCACTTCCTAACAGACAGGATATATAAGTTGAGTTATATATTTAAAAAAAGGTGGGATAATAATCTAATAATATAACAGCAAGGCTAATTAGTTCAGATCAGACTTCTGACAGTAATGAGCTTGTATCACATTTGCACCCCTCTCACCGTTCCTCCCATCAACTGAAGAGGCACTGACTAGAGATGAGACTGAAACAAAACAAAGGTACAGTAAAAATTTCCTTTAGGTTGAGCTCAATTCTTGGTGACTTAATGGACATACCCATCTAATTCCCTAGATGATAATGCAAAACTAGTTTACTACTGCCTTCTTCTGGGATGTGTTTATAACTTCTCAATCTAGCCCACAGCCATGAAGGTCTCCCACTGAAGTACTAAGGAAGCCAAAACAGGCTTAGCTTGAGCCCAGACAAAATTGACCAGGTGCTGCCACCTGCTGAGACTAACAAAAGAAAACTAGCAACCAACTGGACCAGCAGCAATTAGCTTGATTTAGCATGCACAGACATTGTGGCAAAAGAAGACCATGTATGGAGTTACATCATCTTCCAGTGGTTGCTGCACCACTGCTCCCAGCAGCTGCAGCTAATACTGTCATTGGTAAGGAATACTGGGAACACCTGAGGGCCACAGGATCTCATGGAGAGCCCATTTGGTGTGGTGGTGAAGGTGCTGGCCTAGAAACCAGGAGACATGAGTTCTAGTCCTGTCTTAGGCATAAAAGCTGGCTGGGTGACTTTGGGCTAGTTCCCCTCTCTCAGCCCTCCTCAAAGGGTTGTTGTTGTTGTGGAGAAACAGGAAGCAGAAATATTAATTATGTTTGCTGCCTTCCATTATATATATATCAAAAAAGCGGGATAAAAATCTAATAATAATAATTTTTGGTTAGATGAGCAGAAAGTTGCAAAAACTAAAAACCTTACGGTTGAAGCTGATGTTCTAAATGTGTGTGTTTTTTGTTTGTTTTTTTGGTGCCTTCAAGTCAGTGTTGACTCCTGGCAATTGTCTGGACAAGTCCCTGCAGTTTTCTTGGCAAGATTTCAGAAGTGGCTTGCCATTGCCTGCTTCTCAGGGCTGAGAGAGTATGACTGGCCCAAAGTCACCCAGCTGGCTTTGTGCCTAAGGTTTCTAGCCTGGTTCCTTAACCACTACACCAAACTGGCTTTCTTGAAAGTGTACTTACTGTTACTTATTACCTCTCCCCTGATCTTCTACATGCACAATTTTCTCATCTCATCAGGCTACAATTTATGCACATTTATTTGGAAGCATGGATTTAGTGGGAGTGCTCTCCTAAATACAGTAAGTATACATCGGATGAGCCTGCAACCTCATTATAAATGTGTAAGGTAATTTTTTCTGTGACAACACAACAGAGGAGGTTCCTATGCTACCACTGGTTTGCTGCTTCCTGTTTGTCTCACTCCAGGCATGTCAGCATGCAACAGAAGACCCAAATATCTCTCTAAAGCCCATCCATCAGGATACAAGAATAATTGAAATAGTTAACATTGTGAGCTCAACTTGCTTCACAAAATAGGAAATCTGTTAGCTGACAAAGAGTGAAACCAAAGCCCCTTTCTTAGAGAAGCACTACATAAGGACAATCACAAGTAGGCCATTGCCTATATAAAATAAAGAGAAAGCAGCAATGACATGCAGTTTTGCCTCCAAAAAGAGATACCACCCCCCAATGAAACTAAACTTCACTTAGAAACACTGGACTTCACCTTATACCACTACTACACCTAACTCAGTATTACTTGCAGTGACTAGCAAGTCTAGAGTCTCCAGGGTTTCTCTCCCTGGAGTCTCTTCCAACCTATCTAGTGCACCTGGAGTTTTCAGCATGCAAGAATTTTAATAGAAAGCTGCAATATTCTCAAAAAGGCATACAATCTGAAGCAAATAATATAACACAGAGCCACAGAGCATGCCCGTGATAATTCATTCTTCTCTAAAACAGGCAGTCATTGTGCTAGATTCCAGTAGACTTCTGTGCCCAATTCAAAGTGCTAGTAATCACCTACAAAGCCCTATATGGTATAGTGGGGTAGCACTATAGCCTTGCCAAAAATGAATCTGCCCATCTCAGGAAGATGTCAAGTGTCTGCTCTCTATCTGAAGTCAGGGGGACATGGATGAGTCTACAAACCTTCTCTGTGGCAGTGACCACACTTGGGAACTTCCAACCCACAGAGGTTCATAAAGCCCCATCCCTGATGTCATTCAGAAGAGTACTGAAGATAGTTTTATTTTATCAGGACTTCAACCCTAGTTAAATGTTACTGATCTCTATGTTAGGGGAAGGTTGATTTATTCTTCTTGTTGTTTTAAAAAATTAACATGTTGCAACCAGCCCAGAACACTTTTCACTTGAACAGGGTATAAAAACTGTAAAATAAATTCATAAAACTAAGGGAGCCATTTTTATCAAGTCTGCCATGCACTAGTCCATGTCAGTCAAAGCTATCTATAGCTTGAAACTCTGCTTGTTACAATGGTAAAAAGCACAAGAATTCTAAGAGAAGGAAGAGGAAGTGACCAAAATACTCATCCTCCTGTACAGAGGAAACTAGCCTCCTTTATGGGAAAGATAGACTGATTTTTAATTCAGTTTCAGTTTACCTTCTTGCCTGGTAAACCAAAGGACAAACATTCCGATAGTGATTAGGGAGAAGAAATCTATTTTCAAAGTACTCACAGGAATGGGTTCTAATTAAAGTATCTATTCATCATGATACCCATTTTACTAAAGGGAAAATAAAAGAATAGGAGAAAAAAGGAGAGAAACAACCAAGTTCAAAGTATGCTTTTTATTCACTGATTCAAAAAGACACCCTTTCAGAAAGTTATCCAACTTAGAATAGTTAAGGTTTAGAGTCATCATTCTACACCTATACTGAGAATACGTGAAAGTAATACCTAGCATCCGTTAACCAACTCAGCAAGGAATAGTTAGAAAAAATATTAGAAATATAAGAAAAAGGGACATATCTAAATAATGTGATTTTGAGAAGGCGTTGCAGCCAGAAAAGGATAGCAAAGCATAAAAGGCTAAGGAAGAATAGTATATAATCCATCCTACTCTAAAATAAACCTCATTCAAGTTCGCCTCAGCGCAGTAATTGAAAGCGCATTAAGACTACGGCTAATTAGCCCAGCCCTATACTTACTCGAGGAGTAAGTCCCACTGTATTCAGCAAAGTGAACTCTTCAGCAAACCACGATGATAAATTCATGGTTAAAGCAAAAGCTGCCTTTTTATAGTACTACTTCCTCGGCCTGGGCGTGAACGCGCATCTCGAAGACCACCTGAAAACAACCTGCAGCAGCCAGCGGTGCAGCGCCTGTCTCGTGACGGGGAATGAAAGGAGGCATAAAATGACAGCGCTCGAATCGGCTCTGGGGGGCGTCCATGGAGGAAAACCGCACCGTGAGTCAAGGAGAGTTTCACCGAGGCTCGGTGCAGGCGAGCCCGATGGGAACCAAGCGGGACGCTCACGGCTCAGCCCCGACCCCAAGCAACCTCTCTGCCCGGTCATACCTCCCCGGGACCCCCCTCCACTTACCACTTCTCTCCCGCTCGCAGCGGTCGCTCCCTCCCGGGCTGGCCCGGCCCCTCTCCCTCTACCTGCTGCCGCTGGGCCTCCAGCCCGGGCAGCCCCCGCTCCGCCATTGCCTCCCACACCTTCGCCGCTCCTCCGCCAGCCCGGAAACGAGAAAGGGAGACACCTTATTTCCCTCTCCCGGCTCTTTCATGGCCCCACCCACCCGCTTCCGACCGGCCAGATGGGTGTGGCAAACGTGACGGAAGAGAGGGAAGAGAAACGAGCACCATCTTGAGTGCGGCCTAAGGCGAAGGCGTCATGACGCGCCTCGCTATCTGTTGCCGTATTGGTTGGGTGGTGGCGCGGGAAATCAAACGAGTGGGCGGGGCATCGTTCTTTGATTGGACGCCAGCGTTCCTTTAAAGAGCACTTGCGTGAGCCCGGCTTGTCCGCGCCAAACAAAAGAGATTCCGTCTTAAAGCAAAAGGCGCCGAGGTTGTCTTCCTCCTACGGTGTGTAAAGAACAGCCGTGAGAGATGCGGACGCCGCCTCATTTGTTGATCTGCTTCGTACCGCTTCCTGCAGTGCTGGAAGGAAAGGCGAATTGTCCTGCGTCGGTATCAAAGTTCTTGCGACTGAAGTAGCAGCTAATATTAGGAAGCGTTCTGTGAGGTACTGTGGTTGCCATTTTTAGTAAGGACGGAATTAAAATGCTTACTTGGCTAGCGCAACCTTTAATATGGACCGAAATTAATTTTGGTACTGTCATTTGAAGAACCGCGAAAAGACTGCGTCAAAAACCAACAGCCTATGATCTTTTGATAACTTTTGAGAGATACAAAAAAATAAAAATAAAAAACCCTTTTCAGTGGTGCCAGTGGATTTGAAAGTTGCTCTTTACGAACTTGGTGCCCACACTTCCTAGCCAGAGGATCTCATTGCGTTGTGCTACGATTTAACTAGTTTGCTTAATAAGCCACAATTATTTATGCAGTCCAGATTTGCGCCACCTGCATTGACCTTAGCATTTTGTTAAGGCAGCTATTTTGGCTTATAATAAAGCATAATTTATAGCAGTGCCGGGTTATTGAGGGACCGTATGTGATGCATTTAGGGAGGTCAATACTGTAGAATGGGCAGGACTAGGTATTCCTGAAATGTAGCTAGGTACCCGATTTTATTCAGCAAATTGTGGGTAAAGAAACCATGGCTTGGCACAATGCATGAACTAAGTCCAGGCATTTCCCTCTTTCACTAACTTTTGTTGCAATACCTTGTCTGTGTGCACCAACAGTATACACCTGTTGATCCTTTTTGTTAGAGATGATGCTAGATTCCAGAACACAGTTGGCTACTTTTGATTCTCTCAAGCTACCCTGCCCCTGAAACAGACAGTACTGTATGCTGCAGGACAGATTAAATGTACGCATCACTGAAGAATACATGTGACTTATCCTGAGTTTAGAATCTGAGTTATGAAACTTCAAAGCACATTTTCACTTGTATAGCAGTTAGCTTTGTGTAAATCTACTCTCACTGTAATGATGGATCAAATTCTGTTGCAAAGAAAACAGGTTTACTACAGCTTGCCAATTCCACATCAAATCCTAAATTGTTTCTATTTCAATGGGGCAAACATAGCAACCATTTCCTAAGTTATTAGCAAAAGGGAAATTAGGTTTAGGCATGCAAGAGGAATGCATCTTTCTGAGTCCTTGCACTGACACATATGGGCTTGGTTCATACATCATGCTGCTGCCATTTTGCTTAACCATGACTTCTACAATTTCCTGGATCTGCACACTAAGCAATGGTCATATAGCAAACACAGCACACTGGCCCAAGACCAGTTACAGCTTAGCAGTAATCCCCATAAATGTTTCCCAGAACACCAGCATGCCTACTCAAACCCTCCTTGGCACCCATCAGCCCCATTCATTATTATTAGAAAATAAAAATGGCTGCAGCAGCTACCTGCACAAACACAGGACAAGACAACCATGGATCATAAAAATCACGAAAGAGGTGGTAGGTAGCATTATATCCATTTTACTTTTTAAGAGTTTGGTTTCACTGTTGCTGCCCTTTTGTAAATTAGCCATTTGTCCTAGCAGAGCACCCCTATTTTCTCAAAATTCCACTTACCAACCCCAAAAGGTTAGGCACCTGGGACTTAGTATGTTGCATGATTGTCTGCCATTACACCACGCTGGTCACAGAAAACTATATTCACCAAAAGGACTTATTTCCCCAGATGTCCTATGGCATGTATGAACAGAAATTAGATTTTCCAGCAGGATAGGGCTCTTTTCCAGTGGATCTATTCAAGAAAACTGATATGCTATTATTCATGGCAGGCTGTTGCTTAGTCTGGCAACAATTTTTCCCCATCAACTGGCTTGCACACCATAAAGAGCAAAAACCTGACATCTGGAGGACTCCCCAGATCCCCATCAATAGGCAAATTTGCTCATGAGTCAGCATATCAGTTCCATGGTTTGCTCATGAGAAATTTGGGGGGGCTTTGCAGTTCATACTGGTGTGAACTAAGCATCTGAAAATAGCAGTAGCAGCAGAAAAATCTCAAAAAGACAGCCAAGGATTTTCCTCTTCCACTGAAGCAGCCTGATCCACAATCCCAACTTGTTTTTAAATACAACACAGCATACACCTGAGATTGTTGGAGACTTTTAATCAGTTCCATACATTTGGATATGGTGCATTAATTAACCCCAAAGGAGGTGGAAGGAGCATCTGGGGGAGAAAAAATTGTTCATTTTGTTCCTTAGGGACTTTTCTTCTACAATGGTAAGTTTTGATCTTTGAAACAGAAAGTTGCTCCCCCAATTCAAGTTATGTACAAGAACAGTTTCTTCTTCCATACTATGAGAACTGAAACTCCATACCTACTCCATTGATGTGGAGGGAAGCAGGAGTGAGGTGGGGGAGGCACATGGAGATAGCCATTCCATATGCTAATGATTATCCAATTCCTGGGTTTCTGTTTCCTGCAAGTCCTCCAGTCCAGAAACAAATTCTGGGGTTCTGCCCTTCCCCACCCTCCTCAAAAGCAACATCCAAATCCACTGTACATTCATTATCCAACAGGCCATCTTCGGTTTTCTTCTCACATGAAAGCTCTCATGAATAGGTTTGGATTAAGAATACATCCATGCTATAAGCAAACTGGTTTAGCCATCATGGCATTCATTCCTGCTGTCACCTCTGAGAATTCTGAATCCTCAGTTTAGGCCCTAAGCTGTTCCCAAATTCTCAGCATTATTCTGAAACCACACTTCCCCAAATTCCTGAACAGAAGTCCTGAAAACTCAGTAAAGCCCATTTGTGTTTGGAGAATCTCATGTTTTACACCTTGGCTACATTTTTCTGTACTCTAGAGACCCATTTCTTCTTTCAGCAAAGAGAGAAAACGGGAATTCCGTAACAAAATCAGATTAGATTCTGGACCACCTCCACAAAGGTATCTCTGTGTATCTTGGCCATATCTCTCCACTAATCTACTCAACCACAGCATAATATGAGTTCCTGCCAGCCCCACACAGACTCAATACTTAATCAGCCATGGCTTGTGGTTCTTCACTAGGGTTAAGAGGTCTGCTCGGATTAACAATGGATAAAGAATGCAGCAAATCAGCCCTTAAAACCATGGTTTCAAGTGGGGTTCTGAACCCAGAGTTTGTGTTACCTATGATTTAACACTGCATTGAATAAACCATGGTTAAACCATCTCCTGATCTCTCCAGTTTTTTCTGATGACTCCCTATATGCTAAGAGCAGGATTTTAAATTAAGCAAACTCAGCTATAGCCTCACGGTACATCTACAACTATAATCAGGATTCTGGCAGCAAACCAAGTCTACTGCTGTATCATATTGAAGAATTATGTCTGCAAGGATGGAAGCAACAAAACATTCAGATTCTGACTGGCGAGTTCCCATTGGATGGAAGTGTAACCTCATTTCAGACCTACCGTTGACAGGTCAGTTTTGAGGCAGGGGAACTTTTTGAACCATTAGGTCCAGAGCGCTTCAGGAACATGTTCCAGGCAGGAAGGTGAGAACTCTGGATAGATGGGACAAGGAAATGATTCCTCTACTAGAGGTTTCTGTTTCTAAGGTGCAGTCGAAAGAGGAGACAAAAGAAAGGAACTGGGAGTCAAAAGCCCAGGAGGCAGGAACTGAGGGGAGGATCACGCAAGCAGGTCAGTGGCTAAAAAAGGACCTGTGGATGTTGACTGAATCGAAGGAAAGAGGCTGGTCCTTCCTGTTGTGTAAACACAACCCTCTCATCCCCTGAGCTGAGCACTGGTCACTTTCAACCTATGCACAGAGGCTAATGCTGGCCAAAGTCGTGTCGGCTAGGCTTTTCCCCAAATTTTCCCATGGCATGGGCAGCGGCATCTGAATGCCAAGGCAAGAGGTCACCAGCACCGCAAACTCCTTGCATCCCAGTGCACAAGGTAGGCTACATCTCTGCACGTCCTCTGTAGGCATTTTCAGAAACCCTTTAAGTTGCCTGAGCGTTGTAACAGTAACAAGAACAGTTCATCTTATGGCTCTCGTCAAGGGAAGATCTTGGAACCTTATAAGCGCTTCATGCTGCATATAAAAATGGTTACATATGTACATATATATACACAGAGATACGCACACACGCATACATATATATATATAGGCTCTGATCAAAGAGGGAAAATTGGTACCACCTTGTCTACACCCCCCCGGAGCACATACGCTAGGAGATGGATCCCCGCCCTTCGCTTCTGTGCACCGAAGCTTCTGTGCCCTGAGCTGAAAGGAACAGTCCTGGCCTGGGAGCTGTGATGCTGTTGGGCATTTCCCTCTTCCTGTAAATCAGCTCTCCTCCTGGTAGGAGAATTGGAAGCAGAGGGAGCCCGAATCTCTGAGAATGCACAGGCAGGGCCCATGGAGACTTTTCTGTCTAAATATTGAAGGCTCTGACATACAAAGTGATTAATCTCTAAGGAGCTGAAGACTGCAAAGCATAGAGCAGAAGCAAAGGGCATCAGAGTCTTCTGAGCAAAGACCAAAAAGTCAATCCAAAAAGTAGATAGTTTTGGAGGGATGCTGGTTAAAGCAAAGGGGGTTAGCTCCTCTAGAAGAGGCATAGACAGGAGTTGATCAGCCTTTGAAACCAGGGAATAAAGAGCTGCGGAAAGGGCCCACTGCTTCTTAAGTATCTCTCTGTTTCTCAATAGTAAAAGAGATAATTGGAGGTTGGGTGGTTAATTGCAGAACACCTGTTGGTTTACTTTGGATTCAAGACAGAATGGGGATTAAGGGAGCCAGTAATCTGCATAACTAAGGACTAAGAAGCCACTACTGTAAATTGTTACAATGACGGTCATGGTGTGTGAAGATCACAGGAACTAATGTGAAAGTCTAAGCAGCACTGGGACAAGGCAAATTATTTGCATGAAAACCAAAGACTGGCAACTTTTAGCCCTACAGAAGTTTTGGATGACCCCTCCCATATTCCCAAATTGCTGGTCCTGCTGACTGAAGCTGAGGAAAGTTGTTGCCCCAAATTTTTGGAAGGCGCCAAGTTTTTTATGCCAAAATAAATGCCACAACAGAGAAAGATCTAGATGGGCCCATTCATAACATAGTCATTTGGATATAAGAAATCTAAGACAAGCTACAAGTCATGATCACCTAGGGACTGTAGTATACATAAAAAACAAAGAACAGTGGTAAGAGAACAAGGCACAATCCACTGGGAATTTCCTGCACAAGGCCTTCTAGAATAGCTGATGCTTGTGTGGGCTGTCTCTGGACCAGAAGTCAGTGGACTGTGTCTGGAAAGGCAAAGGGAGAAATGCAAACCCTGAGTACCAAGCAAGTAATACAAGAGCCGTAACAGATGAACCGGAGTAAGCTAGGATTGAGAGCACTGACCAAGCGCAAGCCCAGGTGAGGCACCAGTCAAGATCCAAGGGATAAAAAAGGGAGACTCCACTTTGGTGTGAGAAGGAGATGGAAGCAGCTCCAAAACTGAGCAAAAAGGGTTCAGAAAGAGGGGACCCTTGCAGCCAGGAAGTCCCAAGAGGAAGGAAGACAGGAAAAGAAGGACCATCTTCCCAAGATTGGAGAATTCTCAGAGGACACCTGGTTGCCTGCTCCTCCTCCGGACTTCAATATACAGAGCTAGGCCAAGAAAACCATGCTCCACCAAGTCCAAAGAAAGTAATTATAGCTGGGAAGGGGGAGTCCACCCATCATCCTAAATACTGACAACCTCCCCAACCCCATCAATTCCTAGATTATGGAGTGCAGAGGATGGAACTGCTCTGGCCCCTGTGATTCTCCTCCCTCCACCTTGCCCACTATCGGGATGAGATGGGGAGGGGATTGGCTCCCTCATAGTTAATACTGTACACTCCCCATTACTGGAGAGGCTAGGGTAGGGGGGTGTCTCTCTCTCTCTCTCTGTATAGATATTTGTAAATATAATATTTATAATATTGCATTGAAAAAATAAAACTTAAAAAATAAAATGAAACACCATGTGTGTGAGGGGGAGGGAGGGAGAGTCCGTCCCAGCGGCACAGAGAATTGGTGGCTAGCTTGTTGGTGCCAGGGCAGTCATGTTTCTCCTCCGTTCCAGGGCCCCCCGCCCTTGCCCCAGCAAACTCCCAGCACAAGTTCTCATGCCACAGTTCAATACAAAGAAGCCACCAGTGGAGATTGTCCATGGGGTGGGGATAGGGGGAACCTGGCTTCTTTCTACCCTTGCCAACCCAGTTCTGTAGGCTTCAAAGCAGCAGGCTTGGTCGTCCGTTCTGACCATTCACTGTAGGAAAACAGCAAAAGTGTTATGGATAGAATGCATTTTGCTCCTTCCCCCAACTTCTAGATCAGTGCTTTTCAAACTTGGCAACTTTAAGGTGTTGACTTCAACTCCCAGAATTCCCCAGCCAGCCATGCTGGCTGGGGAATTCTGGGAGTTGAAGTCCACACATCTTAAAGTTGCCAAGTTTGAAAAACACCGTTCTAGATGATGATGCCATTAACATCCTCCAGATCCCTTCCAATATTTCCTCCCCAACCTGGCAGCATCTCCCTGCCTCATAATAATACTCAGCCCTGACATAATGCTTTGAGCAATCTGGAGTTACAGTTTTGTAACAGGGATACAAGTTTCACATTCTCTCAACAATCTGATGAGGCAGCCACGTTAGGTGGGTCAAGTATTTTTAGCTCCACTCTATGGATGGAAGGACCATGGGCTAAAAAGTGCAGCTGGCCTAACTCTGACAAGAGCCTCACCAAGTGAAGTTTTGAACAAGGGTGTTTCCTCAGTTGCAACTCAATCTCAAGATCATTATGCTCCAAAGCCATGCGCTTTTTGCACCCTGGCTCCCTCCCCACTCCTCCATCACTTTGTTCCCCTTTCCTTACTTCTGATCCCAAAGGTTAAAGAACTCACAAGTGGAGGTGCACTGGAGCAGAAAAGGCTCAGGCAGGCTTGAGGCAGAACTGTCAAAAGGAGTCTAGTCGGGGTAGACAAGAGAGGGGAGGGTGCCAACTCATGATGCTGAGAACAGGAAGAAGTGCGAATGGAAGGGGGTGGGGCACAGATACCTGGCCTGGTGGCTAAAATTCAGTGCCCACTACCCGGAACACGGGGCTGCCAGTGGGAGGGGAGACACTGTTCACTGCACAACCACCCTGCACAGATGTAGCGTTAAGCAGGGAGATGGAAAAGAATCAGGAGAGCGGCTTTTGGAGAGAGGAAGAGACAACAGGATAGGAAGGGGCTATGAAGGTGCCTTTTCAGTACCAAGAAACGTGGACCGCCCATTCAGGAGGAGGAAGGAAATTTTATTCCAAACTGAGGGCTAATGGAAAAGCAGGAGGGAGTCCTGTTGAGAGTATTGCTCGACAACCACTTCTCACCTGATTCGGGCAGGGAAGCTGATCTCAGCCCAGTCTCTTTCTGTAACTGAATCTCCTTTAGTGCAAATATTGATGTTGCTGCAAGAGAAGGAAGAAAAGAAAGACACAGAGCCAGTGAGAGAGCGCCAATTTCTAGGTCTGCTGTTCTAGCATGTCAGCATGTGCACTGCAGGATAAAAGCAATTTGGGTGTGTGCGTATCCATGTACGCACGTTTGCACTGACAAATTTTTGAATCCATTTTTTAAAAAATCTCTCTCCCAGTAAGGGATGTAGTAGATATAAATGTCCCTTAAAACCAACTTATAAATTGGGCCCATTCACAAACATGTCAAACCTGGGTAAAATGTTAAGCTCTGTTTAAATTCAAGACATGCGTTCTTTATTGAGCTTTGACGTATAGAAAAATGAAAGTTATCAATCAGTTAATGAATGTTAGCTGTTCCATTATGGCATGTGATGAAATGTATATTGCTTATTATCCAGTTACTGGTCCCTTTTGAAACCATAAGAGAAGTGTAACATAAACTAATACATTAAAGGTAATTATCACTATAAAAATGTTGTCACAATAGCATTGTGTAAAACAGGTGAAGTTCCTAACATGGCCTGTTTCACTTGGTTTGATGTTATGAAATGTCAACAAGTATCTAGGATTCTTAGAGAATACATTCATCACTAAAAAATATCAGTGTTTAGGTTATGGGAACAAATCCTCAAATAGGTCCCACACGGGAAGACTGAGGGCTCTTCCGCACAACCTGCTAACCAGAGACTGGAAATCTCTCTGCAAATGGATATAGAAGGTATGTCCAGATGATATTGGGCATAACTCACCAGACCTACTAAGAAGGCAGCCTGAACTCACCTTCCCAATCCAGTTTTAAAATGGTGTTTGCCAGTTTCTTCCAGCACAAGCCAGAATGGAAGTGTTTTGTACCAAGGTAAGGTTAGGGGCAGGGGTGGTTGCACCCACGCCACCCCGGTCCCTGGCCACTGACTTTTGTGTGGGAGGGGTTTGTCAGTGGGAGAGCTTGGGCTCACCTGATGTGCCAAAAAGCCACCTCTCCCACTTCTTTTGCCAAACCGTAGGTGGTGGGAGAAGCAAGAAGAGGGAAAGTGGCTTTTTTGGTGCCAAAAAGAGCCCCCTCCCAATTCCCTTCCCCAAAGGGGAGAAAACAGGAGTAGAAGCAACTCTGCATCTAGCCCCCTGCCACTTAGAAGCATGGGAAGAGGAGTGAGGAAAAGCAGCTCTGGGGGTGGGGGTGGGGGTGGGTGGGGGAGAGAATAAAACCACTTCCTGTCCTTCTCTCCCACTGCTTCTTCCCAGACCCATGGGAAGGATGGCACTTTTGCTGCCAGGTTTCCAATCCCATGCAGTCATTACTCCATGGGATCAGAAAACACGGCAACAGAAGATCCACTTCTTCCTCCTCTCCCCTGCTTTCATGGGAGAGGAGGAGGAGGAGAGGAGGAGCTCCTTGGGTGCCAGTCCTCCAATCCCACCGAAGGCTCACTCTGTGAGATCAGAGAACTGATAGCGAAGTCCTGTAGATACTCTGCTGCTAACAGCTGACATCAAATAAGGTGTTTCTCATGCAGCCTCCTCCCTGGCCTTCTTCTGCCTTGTTGTTGAGGTAGAAAAGAAGTTGGAATTTATGTCAGTACTTCTTTAGGCCAGCATATTCTTCTGGCAATCCTATTCTGGATGGCAGCCCTTCACTGCTGCCATGAGGAAGAGCCCCAAGATAAGAAAGTGGACTATGAAGTCATCTCAGAAAATGGGAAAACTAGAGTGCAGGATAATTAAAGCTAGGCTGAATAAGAGGGACAGAGGAAGCAAGAAGCAGGTAAGCGAGGTGCAAGTCTAAGGAAAAGCCTCTTCATACAATGTGCCAGAGAGTCAAATGGTAAATATTTTTGCTAGATCTTCTGTCCTTTTGTGACTGTAAATTGACAGGAATTATGATCAAATTTTCTCCCCAGCCTTTCATAGTGTACCACACTAATCCACTGGATTAGCTAAGTAACAAAATAACTGCAAAAAAGAGCACGGGTGCCCTTAAACTCTTAGCCCACCAATGAAAATATCCTCACCAGTTAACCACTACACCATAACAGATGGAACAGAGAAGTTAGTAAGACAGGATGGAGATCTCCTTCATGCCAAGAACTGGTCATAGCAAGCAAATGAATCCATGGTCCTTGTATCAATCACTTCATGCTTCCATCACACACCCTTCTCTCAACCTTGTTCTCATTTGCTCAGCCACTACTCAGCATCCCTGGTCTCCCTCCCTCCTCAGCCTCCACCTACTGTCCGGAAGTTTGAGGACCCGCTCTCCCAGACTGTGGAAGAACTGGTGACGCATGGCCTCATCTGCAGAGATCCGCTTCCTGCCCTCAAACTGCATTTGGGGAGAGAAAAAGAGAAGAGACAAGAGAACAATCCTAGTGATTAGATGAAGGCTAAATAATGGTATCTAGCTTTTTGCTCCTACTACAAAAGCAATCTTTTCCAAAAGGGAGCCTAGCCATTTAGTTACCACATGGTTGAAATCGCATGCTAAATTGTGTCCCAGTTCTCCAAAAAGAACATACTGTTAAAAATTCCCCATAACTTCTAAACACACCTACTGTACCCAAGTACTTCTATCTGCCTCCTCCCACTGCTAATGACAAAAGAAATCTCAGAACAAAATGGAGGCTCTGACCCAAAGCACAAGGAATGTGCAAAATAATTTTAAAGCTGGCTGGAAAAGCCCAATGATTTTAATTACCAACAATTACCAGAATACTTTGAATTGTAAAGTATTTCTAATCAAGTGTCAACTATGTATTACAGCCTACACAATTTTTTTTAAACGTACAGATTTTATATTTCCAGGCAGGCTACAAAAAACCCACAGGAGCTGCACAGGGCAGGCTGCCATCCATGCCTAATGCACAGTATTTGAACTGATGGATCAAAAGTTCTCCACCTATTTTGAACAACAGACAAATAAACAAAATCCTGCCAGCAATGAGCCTGCAGAAAAAGCAGGGGGGCTGATACAGATAGGATTCAAGCACTCTCCTACCTCTCAGACTGCAGTCACACTACATACTAGTACCCACAGGTTGTAGATTGAGGAATTGGGGCAAACAAAGCAGAATTATTTTTGCAGAAGCACCTCTCCTATGATGGATCCACTTGATTCCTTTTTAATGTACTCCACTTTAGAATTAGTTTTCATATATAAGTGTGTGTGTGTGTGTGCACACACCCATGTATATGTACGCATGCATGCACGCATACATTCCCAAAGAATAGCTCTGCAACAGTCCTTGAAGATAAGCAGCTTTACTTGAGGTCACTTCAGGTCCTAACTGGCAGCCCATTCTGTCCAATGCATTCATTCTTTGAAGAGAACAGGACAATGCTTTCTTTATATGGCCTCTACTTGTTAAGCAAGTTCATTGTTGCCTGCTTGCCATGGCAGGGAAGACTTTTCCACTGTCTGAGGCTGGGAAAGAAATGTAAGGAGTTTAGGACTCCTAGGAGGAAGTATCAGAGACCTCTAAGCCCTAATTCTCCAACCAGACAAAAACAATGGCTCACCTGCAGCAGCTTTCCTAAAAGGTCAACCCCATCATTGTCCAGCCTGTACGATTCAGGAGAGAAAAGAAAAGAAAGGTCAGACTCATAACCTCCTGAGGGGAACCGAGGCTCTGCTTCCCAGGACTGATGATGCTGCCCACTGTCCTTCCAGCATCTGAAGATGTAAAATACTTCATGTCCCTGAGTCAGCTATTCATCTGTAACTGCACCAGAGAGTCATCAATGCTTCTTCCACCCTTTGGAGCCAAGGCCCAAGCAAAGGTCTTGTTAATCCCCTTTTCTTCCCAGTAAAGCACAGCAAAGATTTTGGCCAAATGCTCACCTCATGCATTCTGGCTACTCACACACATCTATTTGGGTCTTGGCTCCTGCCTGGAATTCAGCAGAGAAGGTACCCCAGGCAAAGCTCTTTGCCTGCATCTCTGCTGGAACAAAAAGCAACTGAAAGGCCTAAACAGGAAATACCTCCAGCACAAGCTTCAGGGAGGGCCTGACTCATGGGCTAGCTTCTACTTAGGTGTATCTGCTCTCCACACTCCACACTGAGAGAGGGGGAAAGCATGAAAAACTATCTATGGCTGCACAATGAGTACATCTCTCTCTTTTCTTGTTCTTAAGAAGCCTCTACTTTTAATGACTGAAAAGACATACAGTACATGAAATTATCCAGACTGTGTTGTGTCAGCATCCTACCCCACTCTTCTGAGGGCACAGCAATCTTTCTCCTTCTCTTTTCTGGGATGACTACAGCAGATCGTCACCCATCAAAGGCTACCACATCTGACACTCACCTTGGGGCATGGTTGATCAGGGCCTCAGAACGGTATTTGGGGTAATTATAGGCTCGGAATTCTTCATTGGACAGGATTCCAGGCCACGTCTCTTCATTGGGTGTCCCTGGCCACAGAGAGAAGAAGAAGCAGAGTTCAGAAAAGGAGTGAACAATGAGGCTTCCAAAGAGCATGGATTTTCATGTCACATGAAAGCAGCAAAGAGGAAGATGAGAAACAAGATCATTTCAACATCACAGCTAAGAGACGAAGCTCTTCCTCCTCCTGGATAGTTTTTGTCCCAGCTGATATGGATGATTTTTTTCCTCTTTGCTCTCCTGCTCCCTTTCTCCTTTTGTATTGTATCTTTCAAATTTTAAGTGAGGTCAGAGACACACTTTTTTAGTGACAGATAGGCTGATCTGGGAGGGTTTTTTAAAAATGTGCTTTGTCTTTGATCAACTTATTTGTACCCCAGTGTTCTGACTGGGATCCCTGAAGAAGCTCTTAACCTCCATTATGACACTATAGAGCAACCTCTCTGATGGTCCTCATTTCCTTGCCTCCCATTCCATCATTGATTTCTCAGCAGTGCAACCCTGGCAGATATTTACCCAATATCCGAAAAATGAAATGCAGCTGCTCCTCAACTGTGGAGCCTGGGAAGAGTGGCCGTCCTGTGGACATCTCATAGAAAATGCAGCCCACACCCCTGTGGAGAGAGGCAGGCACATTTCACTGTCAACTCAGAGAAAACAGGAAGGACCACAACTTTGTGCTGTCAATCGCAGTTCCTAATTTTGACCTCTTATCTCTGTTGTGGTGATTGAACAAAATCACTGGTAGACCAACAAAAGACTTCTATTATGGGATTTTGCTGGTCAGCCAATGATTTTGTTTGATGTTTGAAACCATCTTTTTAAAAATCAAAAATTTGCCTCAAGATATATAATAGTCCACACCCAAAAAAAGAGGGGGGGGGGTTACATTTTGCAACCAGAATGCAATTTAAGCAAACAGTCATCTATTTGTGCCTTCTGCTAAGAGAGGAGCAATTAAGATTTCTAATGACCAATATGTGGAATTTTGCAAATATCCAAAAATGTACTTAGGGTTTTAAACAGATCATTGAATTCATCTCTACTAACCCAATCCCCGTTCCTTGAGGAATCCAGTGGAGGCATTCTGGGGAATGTTTGCATTGCTCACCAGTAGAGATCATGCTAATAGGACCAGTGAGCTTGAAACCATTGTCCTCCTTAGAACACATTAAATATTAGCACCTGTATATTACTGGAAATATCAGTTCAGGTTAATAAGCTGACTTGTCTGCCATGAATAGCCTCTGCTTTATAGAACTGATGCTATGCTTCCAGAGGGCCACACAATGCAGTTTGAAACTTAACCCTCACTTAATTATGGTAATTGGGATTGCAATTTCTATCACTAAGTGACACAGTCGTAAAGTGTTATGCCACATGACCATGCTGCTTAGCGATGGAAATTCTGGCACTTCCAGTTGCCGTTGTTAAGTGAATCACTGCGGGTTGTTAAGCAAGGATGTCATATGGTCGCTATTTGCAGCCTCCTGCCAGTTTCCCCATTGACTTTGCTTGCCGGAACGGGCAAAAAAGGTCACAAATGATGATCATGCAACTGCAGGATGCTGCAATGTCATAACTGCAAGCCGGGCACCAAGCACCCAGGTCACAAAGATGCTGTGACCAACATTAAGTGTGAAGACCAGTCATAAGTACCAGTCGTTCAGCTTCACTGTAAATTTGAACAGTCGCAAAAACAAGTGGTCATTAAGTGAGGACCACCTGTACTCTAGTGCAGCCTTGAGGATTTGACTGGAGCTGCAGAGACCCAAACTGGGGTTAGCTGCTTTAGGGAGTCAGCAGCTGTGCATTTCGCTCTTCACCCCAGCTTCAGTCCTCTTTTTCTGTTCTGCAACAACTTCCTTCCTGAGCTCTAGATGGCCTGAAGTGTATGTTTATTAATGAACAGGGCACAGAGCCTCAGTTTTCCATACAAATCAGGAAGAACAAAAACTGAACCTTTTTGAAGATGATGGAAAAAACAGAAAACTTATTTTCTAAAAACTTATGATTAACTAAAATAACTCACTTCATGCAAGTCTCTTTTGAACTTAGGAACACTTTTTTGAACTTAGGTATCACTGAAATGAGAGTCCTACAGTGTGGCAAATGAATAGGTTACCCTGGGGAATCAGAAAAACAAGAGCATCCAGGGAGTCAGAGAGAATCCATACCACATGTCAATCTGGGTGGAGTATTCCGTCGAGCCCAGCAGGATATCAGGTGGTCGGTACCAAAGTGTTACCACCTCATTGGAGTAGGTCTTGGTGGGGATGGATTTTGCCCGGGCTAGTCCTGTAAAACACAGAAAGTTATATTGAATAAAGTTATATTATATTCTTGGAAGCTTGGTATTCAGACAAGGCAGCAATCAACAGACACAT